GTTAAGTCATCCCCAAAAGATATTCTGGTTACAATTTCCCAACCGAAAGGTCAGGTATACGAAGATTAACAATTCTTATTTAGGCTTCATATGGGAGGATAGAGTGCAAAGCAGCGAGAATAACTCATCCAGAGAATAAACTTATCGTCTAACATTTCCGATACACTTTTGGAAGGGCAGGTAGACGAAACTTAACCTCTTGGTGTGTGCGAATCGGCCTTGAAGCAAGAAGCGCCTTTATGGCGCCGCATTGATTGACTCATCGATTGACAGCTGGCGCTCTATGTCATCGATAGACTTTCCGGCCGTTTTCGGAACGCGACAGGCCACGTGCGCTCAACCGCCATTCCGGATGTGCGCAGTGCCATAAAGAACTGAAGAACTGAATCAAGGAGATTGACGGCGCCTTATCTTCTACTTCATTGTACATTTTCACGAGTCCAGCTCGCTAGACAGCTCTTATTATGAATACACTTCCTTCATCTGGTAACAGGAACTATGCCTCGTTATTAGTTCAGAACGCCGTTAACATCTTTTAGGAAACAGACGAAAATAAAGGACCCGTTTTTAACCGAAATTTACCACCTTCCGGCATTCGTTTATTCACCGGAAACAGTCCTCCCGTTCGTGAACCCTCTTCCTGGACTGATAAGAAGACACGCGAATTCGACGACGCAGAAATGGCCGAGCAGTTGGCTGATTCAATGGCCCCGAAACCCAGTGCTTTCCCGAAAACGACGGCCTCATTAGCATACAAATATTTCATCCCCGATCGACCCGGGTCATTGGATGCATCGAGGCGTTAGTATGCAGCTCGCGGAACGTAATATTGGTCGACGGCCGATAATCTGGATCAAGAATTCGCAACAATCGCGGAGACCACGTACACGGTTTAACGCGTACAATGGTTTTCATTGCGCGCGGTACGTGACCCAATTTCGAAGTCACCAGGACCGATCTCGAACGCGTTTCAAATTAATCCTCCCTTCTGCTAATAACGAAATCTCTAGGAGCCCCACGAGTGCCCTCCGACGCGCGAAACAATGTTATCGTTGTCCTGACGGACGTACACGAACGCGGACTAGGGTATTTTCACGGACATGGAAATATAGGGACCGGACATAGGCTGGCAAAGAACGTGATGCGGTATGAACCCAAGGGGAAGGCCCGTCGGCCATCTTGGGTTGCTAATTTACAGCGGGAAGTTTAAAAAGCGGGAACTATAATTGGAAATATGGTTACATGTTTGAAAATAAATTTGTTGGGCAACGTAATATGGCGGACAGGGCTTCACTCTGGGTTCTGCTGTACCCGGGTCCCTATATTCCCAAGTCCATGAATATTTTCAGTCACGTTTCTTTTCCGTGACTCGACCAAATTAATACAGTTAATTCTATCACGCATTCGTCAAATTTTTAATCATTAAAACAAATATAATACTCTTAAAGGATTGGAATTCCTATACTATCTTTTGACAGACTCGAAACGGGGATTTGAGTATAATTAAACGAGTCGTCCGTCGCTTCGACGGAAGGCGGAGATTTGGGTTGGCCTGATGAGACCAGGCTAGACGTAGGGAACAGCGTGGGAGGAACGAGGTCGGCCATTCCTCCTCCCAATGTCCTTTTTCCCGGCGTGCACGCGACAATGCAAACTTTCCGACGTTTCTGATCCTCTTCCCGCGAACACGAGGTCGCTATTACTCCTGATTCGCCCTGGGGAAAGCGTATTCCTCCCCGACGATATTCTCTCCCTTCGAATGGGACAGTTTTAACGCGGGAAATGTTATTCGAGGTGAAATGATTACCGGAACGTAAAATGCGTTTTTAGAGACCCCTTTTGCCTGTGGCGATCGTTACGATTTATATAAAGAAAGCTCGCTAAAGAAGGAAGCTCGAGATAACATTTTTAAACGATTTAGCGAACGTCAAGAATAATCCTGCGAGTCGTAAATAACTCCAGTGTATACTTTATTATTATATTCGGTACGTTGTAGTCGAATAAAAGTGCAGTGATTTAAGGTCGTCCAGAATCTATCCCCTCCACATCGCTCAACGCCATCTACCATGGCAACCAGCGCCATCTACCGACTAATAGAGCAAACCGAGGTGAATCAGCGTTCTCTGCCTTTCAAAGAGCGATTAACAATGGAGGACAGCAACCTCGAGTATCCACTTGATTTTTATTCGACTATAACAGCAGATTCTAGGTTCGAACTCACCTGTCCTGAAGTTGACGACAATGTCTATGAGGAATATCGTGTCGGAAAGGCAGTTGAAGGCTATCCACCTAGTGCTTAGGTCGTCATTGAAAAAACTAATGGCGACTGGCAGAATTATCAGATTCGCTACCAGTAGGAGGAGCATGCAAAGGTCCCAGTAGAATCTGAAATCAGAAACGAAGCGTCCCATGTTAGAATAAATTAATAAATTCGTAACAATTAAGCCTTGCATTATTAGTAATTACAACTATAGTCACAGCATCATGGACGCATGTCCATGTACAATTAAACATCATCGATACAAGGATGGCAAGAAGATTCTCAATGAAATCGAATCCCTTTTCATCGACTTTAACTCCTCTTTCACAGAGTCCAATTAGTGCACTAACGCAACACGACCCAACGGGACAAGGAAACGAGGATCGTAAACGAATTTTCCTCGACATCCGCCGAAAAGCTCCGAGCTTTCCGTCTCTGAAAGAACGACGGCCACTTCCACTTTTATTTCGCGTACAGAATAAGTCAGGCTGCGCTGAATTTTGCATTAGAAATTTGCATTCCGGTCCCAGCGCGCAACCTACTTACGACAACGACCCAGGCCTTCCTTAAACCAGGCATTTCTGAGATTGTCTTTATGAGCCAACTTCGCTCAATTACCGAGATCTGAGCCAACGTTTTAAGTGGCGAGTGGCCACGTAACGGGCCGGCAGACTTTACTCTCGTTCTGTTCGTTCGCGAATACATTTTTCCGCCGAAATTCAACTAATACTTTAATTGGGAACTCCGGTCCTGGAAACTGTTTATTTTTGCTTTGATTATTTTTATCGATCGACTCGAGCACGAAGGGTTAGGTCTGGAATGGATCATGATGAAGGGCCTCGGACTGCAAGATATTCCCTAATATTTTGATTAGGAATCAAGTTCCACTCGTGGCAGTTGTTTACACAGAGAAAGAAATCTCGAGCACAAAGGGTCGGGTTTGGATCACGTCTTGGTAACAGGCCTCAGCCTGCAACGAATTTACAAACTTTTAATTAATAATAAAGTTCCACTCCACGACAGTTGTTTATTTTCGTTTCGAATCTGTTTTTCCAAGCCACTGGTGCTCCACGTGGGAAGCGCAAAGGGGTTAATTCCGTCCAGGCTGCCAAAAGAAAGCACCCGGCGCACGGATACCAACGCAAACAGCCGAGAGGTAAATCTAACGGGGACGGGGGCGGCGGTGCAGGGTGGCAAACGAGGACAAACAGCTACTCGAGACTTTCCTCTGAAGGTGTCGCAGCGAGTGGAACCGCGAAAGCTCTGCGTTCATCGGTGCGTGTTGGCGGAGAAGCTCTCTCACGGCTTTCGAGCACCTTCATCCGTGCAAGCCGCTAGGCCAGCTTCATGCGAGCTACAAGCACATTTATTGCCTCGATGTAGCAACGTTATTACTCGCCGAAGTGGGCCAATGTTGGCTGGCTCGGCCTGGAATCGAACTGATTAAAGCAGACCTTTTAGAAGTTTAAGCTTCCCTCCGCTTCTTTCCACCTATTTCTATTCGTTGTTCCTTTCCAACCCCTTTTCTCTCGCCCCCTCGAACCTTTCCACGATACGATATTCTCCAAGCGGCTGTGCAATGTTTTTCTCACACCAAGCGCGGTGTAATCGACTTCCAAGGTGCAAAATTCATTAGAGACTTGGACAGAATGGTGTACAGTGGCCTTTGGACGCCATTTTTTCCCCCGGTTCAATCGGGTTCACTTAATCGTTGAAAGAAGTTAGGAATCATATTTAGGTTGTAAATGATACCGTGAGGTTTCGGAATTATTCTAACTACTTGCTCGGAGTGTTAAAATTCCTTATCGAATCAGTACAGGGGCCTTTGGACGCCATTTTTTTTCTCGGTTCAATCGCATTCACTTAATCGTTGAAAGTGGTTAGGAATCATGTTCAGGTTGAAAATGATACCGTGAGGTTTCGGAATTATTCTAGCTACTTGCTCGGAGTATTAAAATTCCTTATCGAATCGATTCTGAATCTATCCAGGGCTGAACTAGTGCCGCAACATTGTAAATCTAAATTGTATTTTGTTTCAAGGAAAAATTCTCCATCTGTGCTTCGCGTATTGACAACTGAGTGCCCCGGTTTGCGATCATTAAGCAAGGCAGTCTTGCACGTGAGTCCTGAATTGACGTGCATACGAAAAGGGAACAATGTTAAGTTAAAAAATCTGCGAGAATCGAAAGAAAGAAATTAACGAAAAACAATTGGAGGAGGTTCGAGGCTCGATAGTGTGTCTGTAATTTAACATCGAAAAAGGAAGTGTAGAGTGAACTCAGACAAAGATTCGAGCTTATTAATTAAACTGTTGGCCTTGCCGGCGAGGGGGGTATCTTCGAGGAAAAGCAATGCTCTATCTCCGCTTCGTGGTCTGAATGCAGTCTGAATCTTCTACCAGAACGACGATGAATCGCCGTTATCCTTATTCACGAGTGCTCCTACGTGGCGTAACGATTTCACCAGGCGTTGTAGGTCAACCGAAAACGAAAAGCGTATTTGGTGCGTGAGATCCTCGTGCGTGCGCTGAAGATCGGACGCGAATCCTCTCGACGTACCCCGAAACTTCGTTTAAACTCTCCTTTCGAGACGAAGAAGCTCTGGCATTTTACAATTCTATTGAAATTTAACATTTCTTCACTTCTGTTAAATTAATCTTCGTCTAAACATGTATAACTTAGAAGAAACTATACAATATCTGCGAAGATGTTAGGTTATCCGAAGAGGTTAGGTTACTCGACCACATTCCCTTTTGAAAGAATGCAAATTATTTCTAACGAAGAGTAGAATTAAATTACAAATATCGCGAGAGATCCTCAGATGT